AGAGAGAGAGAGAGAGAGAGAGAGTTTTCCAGCCATGCACGCAGACAGATAGAGAGAGCATACTTCCATCGATGGGATGAGAGAGAGAGAGAGAGAGAGAGAGAGAGAGAGAGAGACACACACACACACACAACCTCCTCATCACTCAGAAACAGTCTGCCACAGTCATGTTTTTTTTTAGTGTATACACTGTATAGCGAATATGATGACAAAAAAAAAAAACAAAAAAAAACGAGCAGTGTAATAACAACAGCCCCGCCCCCCTGTTCGCCCCTCTCCTCTGCCGCACAAAAAATTCGGGGGTTTTCGCCGCATTGCTACAAGCAATGTTGTCGAAACTTTTGGAAACAAACCATACAGGGTCATAATACAAACAGCAAAAAAACAAACAGGAAAAAAAAAAAAAAAAAACAACAACTCAAAAGCACTATAAAACCCTATTCAGAGTAGCTTTTGGAGTTCGCCAAATCTTTCCTCGAGTCCCTTATTTTTGCTAAGTTTTTCGTTACTGGTCCAAATGCGGCAAAATTGAATATAGATATACCCTAAAGCACATACGTATCAAGCAAAAAGAAAAACCAAGAAAAAATTACAAATTCAGGAAAATGGCAGTTTCGGTGAAAATTTCGCCAAAATTCACCGAAATTTGGGCCTTCCATTAACCGCTTCTCGCCGGTATCATGGGTGTAGACCGGGAGAGAGAGAGAGAGAGAGAGAGAGAGAGAGAGAGAGAGAGAGAAAGAGAGAGAGAGAGGGCAGTTGTGGGCATGGGATGAGGTTCTTTCCTTTGTTCGTCTGTGTAATTTTGGATTCTGATATGGCCGATTTTATCGCGGCCTTTTTTAACTTCTCTTTGTAAATCGTCTCGGATTTTCCTTGTCGTTTTTACTCCGTATGTTTGCATGGAATGAATGTGAATTCCTTTTCTATTAGTGATCTTTTCAGATTTCCAATCTTGTTGTGTGATGCCTGTTTTGTCTGTGTCTACTATTCACTAGCGTGAGCTATACGCTCAGATCTGATTGAGAGCGCTCGTTATGGATGTTTGGGTTTAATCGTTAACTTCCGATCACCGAGAAAGTTGATTGCCCTTTTCCCTCCTCCCCTCCTTTCGTCGCACGTATGGCATGTAATGACCAGATCTCACCCAACGTAGTGTGAATAGGACAATTGCATGTATGCCAACGCGATCGGTACACTGAGCCAATCCGCCGTCTCTCACGTGCGCGCTCGCGTACGACCGCGATCTCGAGAAAGCCGAGTCGCCACGAACGCGCTCATCTGTGTGAGTCAGCCTTAACCCCGTATAAGGATGCGGGGGACCGAGCTTACTAAACGAACATGGCTGCGGGATTTCCCTCTTCGATGTCCGGCTGTGAGAGCTTGAGGGACCCGGAATATCACGAATACTGGGAAGGCGAACAGCTTAGACAACGGGAAAACTTGAGAAACCCGGGATTCCCCTGTTTGACGGAGAACGACCGACTGTGCATTGGGAATTTCCACTGGGGTATAACCAGCGACCCTAGGGGCCCAGACTACCCAGATACGGACAATACTCAATACTACATATCCCAGGGCTTCGTCGTTATTACTACCAGCTTCCCTCCCTTCCATCTCCTCCTTCCATATCACCAACTCACAGTGGTACCGTGGAATTCCATAGCTCGCTATTGGCCCAGCCCACCGTGCGAGGATTGCCAGCAGTACCAGACACGCCGAACTTCGGGAGCTATCCAACAAACTCGAACCGAAGCTGAGCAGCGATTGCACAGCCTCCGCTTACGGTCCGCCCCGTCGGATTCCGAAGCCTGTTACGAGCGGCGTCGACAACTGGTCGAACCGCGCGACCAACTGCGAAGGCGAAACCAGAGGCGATGGTGATTTCCATCTTTGAGTTTTTAAGCTGACGAAAATTGAGTTCGTTGGCAGGGGCTATGTTGTAGGGATTTTGTTCGAAAATGCAAGAGTGTTTAGATCTTTCGGTGCTGTGATTGTAGTAGAGTACCCCGGGATCTTTAGTCTGGCCTGCACTGCACATGCCATCTGCCTTATGCTGCACGGCATCTGTGGCTTTCCTGCTGTGCCCAAACCACGAGAGGTGGCCTACCTTCCTTCTTATAAAAATTAAAGCACCAAGTACGATCTACATATACCCTCTTGCGCTTTTACCCCCGAAACTTGCCGCAGGAGATCTCAGTTCCGACCTGGGACTCCACCCCCACTTTCCTAAAACCCTTGGCACACCCCTTTTTCGCACTTCCGGGCCCCCATCCCACTCCGATCAGGAAGTCGCGCAGGGCGTGAGGTTGGGCGTCACAGTCATGCCATTTGGGCTGATGAATACCCCGGCCACATTCCCGAGATGCTTGACCGACTTGCTTAGAGAATGGCTAGATAAATTCGTTGTTGTGTACTTAGATGATATTCTGATCTTTAGCAAGACTCTAGAGGAGGTTCAGAAACATGTGCGTTTGATCATGAGCAAGTTACGGGAAGCTAAATTCAAACTGAACCTGAAGAAGTGTGAATGGGCCAAGCGCCATATTTTATATATAGGACATGTAGTAGATGGAGATGGAGTCCGACCGGAGGACGCAAAAATTACAGCTATTCGAGATTGGCAAACTCACATATGTTGACAAAACTACATTTATTCTTAGACCTGGCCAACTACTATCGAAAGATTGTAAGGAACTTCTCGTCTATCGCAGCACAGCTTCATAGACTATTGAAGAAAGAGGCAGTCTAGCGATGGGAGAAGGGCAGCATGTCAGCATTCTAGAAATTGAAAAAGTGCTTGATAGCGTAAAGATAGTAGATCCATCACTACCCTTCATCGTTCCTACGGATGCGAGGCAGTATGGCATTGGCGATGCACTTCAACAAAATGATGGAGAAGGATATAGGCCCATTGAAATCATGCCCCGTAGGCCCTATGAAAAGGTTGTTGCCTCAACCTATGAGAGGGAATTGTTCCCACTGAAAGAAGCTTTAGCACATTGGTGGCACTATCTGTAAGGACTACACTTCAAAGCGTCCTCAGACCACGAGACACTGCGTTGGCTAAAGACTCAGGCCCGTATGTCCACTAAGTTAGCTAGGTGGGCTACTGAGTGGGGTTTGACTTCAAGCTAAAGTCAGTCAAAGGCAAGTACAACGTCGTCACAAATGTGCTAAGTAGACGAGCAGATTTCTTTGGAATTTAGTTACTTACCTAGATGAAGGAACGGAACTGCAGCAAAAATTTAAGGAGGCGTATTCCGGTGATAGGAGTCTGAGTGAGATCATTAGGAAGGTAAAAGAAGTCCCAATTTCCCCCAAATGAAGTCCTGGGGTACTTTATGGCCGACTGCTGTTTGAAAACACTGATGTAGATCATCGCATATGTATCCCAAACAGTGAGGAGGTTCACAGCCTGATTCTGAGGGCCACTTCGGTTGGAGGAAGACCTACGCTAACCTCCTAGGGTCCTACACTCGGCTGGGATAAAACATGACTGTATAGTTTATGTCCAAGGCTGCAAAGTGCGTCGGAGGAACAAGAGTTCCACACAGCCTCCCCTAGGGCTGTTAACCCCCTTACCTATACCATCCAGCCGAGGAGATTCTGTATCTATAGACTTCATGGATGCTAAGGTTAAACCGCTAGTACACGGCCCCAGCCTTCCAGAAAGTTTTTGTCGCCACAAACAAAACTCGGAGGCGCCGAGCGGCAAAGGCGGCCGTTGAAAAAAATAATTGGCGGCCTCCGAAGTGGTGCGGGTTTCATGCTTACACCCGCGGGCCTATGTGTGGTGTACTGGTGCTTTAAGAGTAGAAATGGTAAAAGTCAAGTCATGGTAGTCGTAGGCAAATTAGTAAATTTGCATTTTCTATTCCGCTGCCAGCCGAGGCAAAGACAAACGTAGTCATTCGAGAGTTCTTTAACCATTGGGTTCGGGACTATGGACACCCTCTAACTATAGTTAGTGACTGAGATACTAGGTTCACGGGCGAGCACTGGCGACAGCTAATGAAAGTCTATGGGTCTAAGCTAAGTATGTCATCAGGTGGGCACCAGAGACTGATGGACAGACTGAACAATTGAATAAGTTGCTCCAACAGTTGCTTCACATGTACATTAGACCGGTCCAGATAGACTGGGATAAATATCTCCCTAAGGTAACAAACTGCTTACAACAACTCGGTGCAGCTTGGAACATCGTGCACACCTAATGAATTGCACAAGGGGTGGCATCCCAGGCATCCAATAGACTGTCTAAACCCAGATCAGATTCAGAGATTACCACCTGGTAGTAGGCTGGTACTATCAAGTTTGCACTACAGTATAAGAAAGACCTGCAAGTCGCTGAGAAGATACTCAAAACCCAGCATCAGATGGTAGACCAGGCCAACAAGCATCGAAGACTCTTCGAAGTTTGCTGTTGGCGACTTAGTTTGGGTCAAGTCAAAAGAGTTCCTCCCTGAGGATGGAATCTCTCAGAAAGTGCTACCAGCATTTAGGGGACCACGGGAAGTCCTTGATGACAATGGAGATCCAGACGATCCTTCCTACACTAAAGACATACAAGCCCATCTGCACACATACCCAGTTTTCCATGCGTCCAAACTGCTCCCCTGTGTAGCAAACGACCGGTTTCCTTCACACAAATTCTATGATTCCACCCGATATGGACGGTAGATACGATATTGACAACATTGTTCATGAAGATGTTTACAAGTCAGGGCAGAGAGGCAGACCTCAGTGTCGGCATAAGGTATATTTGCCTATCAGAAGCCTGAAGACGATCGCTTGTATACTAGAGATGAACTGAGGGAAACAGCACCCAACATAGTATCGTACTATGAGCTAGGAAGGGTATCAACATCATCTTTTTCTTTTTTGTTGTTTTTTTTTCCAAAAGGACTGTGGTTAAGGGTATCGACATCATCGACCGATAAAGCTAGGATTTTTCTCGGAGGACCTCAAAGTTAGCCCGGCGGGAGTGAAAGGATTTCACGCTGCAGGGAGAGGGGAGAGGGAGCAGAGATCATAAGGAGACGAAAAAGGATAAAAAAAATTAAAAAATGGAAAACTTGGAAAACTTGTACAGACTGCGGAAATCTCCGTAAGAACAGGATACAATTACAGAGGGGAATGGATGAGACGGGGAAACTTTGAGATCGCCAGGGGGCAGAAATAGAAAGGAGGGTAAGAACCAAGGAAAGGGTAGGTTATCTCTATAAGAGTAGAAGGGAGAAACCAGGGAGGAGGGGAACAGAAGCATTGGCGGGTGTTGGCGGTTTGGACTTCTTCATAGGAACGAATACGTGAGGCTGCTAGAACGACCCTCCCCACCCCTTGCCTTTCCTAGAGTCCTTCTGCGGCATGACTGTGTGCTGCCAGTAAGCTTCCCGGCCAGCAGAAGTCCCCTAGGAAAGCAATGGTCTGGGGGGGGGTTGGTTCGTAGCAGCCTCCCAACTAGCACTGCAAGGGCTAGGTGACTCTTTTCCAACTCTGTTCTTTTCGCTCTTTCTCTTTGTACTAAGTTTGTAGTAAGTTTGTACTCATGCTTGCTGGTGATAAGCAAGCGAACTGACACCCCCCAGAATAGAAGGGCTTGGGTGTTTTGGTGTAAACAACAACAAAACAAAAAAAAAACGGATTTCACGCTGCACACGTCTCAGTCCCGGTCCCAGAGTCCCAGTTGGGCCTATTTCCAAGTAGTCCCAGTCGCACCACATCCCAGTAGGTCGAGTCCCAGGGTTCGTAGGGTCTCATAGGAAGCATCGCAGCCCGGTAACGTCGGGAACCGGAACATCAGGCCTGGTAGAAGTCCACCGATACCCGACAGGAAAAGTCAGTCCCAAAGTCCAAATTTTTTCAGCAGCATCCCAAGAAAGCCCGGAGACCTCTGGAACGACAAAACGCGCAGTAGACAGGACGCGGGTGACCGGTACCGGTTCCAAGCAGGCAAATACCGAGTCAAACATTCTGTTTATAGCTGCTACAGTAACAGCGCACTTTATTTGTTCATTCGTGAGTTGCAGAAGCACTGCTGGAAGCTTCTGCGACAGTGCGACTTGGGCAAGCAGGTGCCCGAAGGAAGGGGGAAGGGGGCGCTTTGAGACCATAGCTAGGGTTACTGAAGGAGAGGGAAGGCGTCCATAGCCGCAGAGGTTGGAGACAAAGCGGGCAGGTGTATTCAGGGGTAGATCCAAGTAGGAGAGAGAGACAGTGAGGCAAGTGGTAGGATCTCGGAGTGCAGTTAAGGTTGAGCGATACAAGTCCAGAGAGTGAGACAGAGTAAGTAGCCAGGGAGCGGGATACACAGTCGGGTAGAGGCAGAAGAGTTGGGCACATACCTGAGTCGGGTGGTTGGTCTTGGGTGCGGTCACAGCCGCGGGATACTCGAACTCTTTCATTGTATAATATAATAATTGAGTGAAGTTCTTCAGTGCAGTAGTCATGTGAACTCTCATCGTGAGTCTCATGTGAATGTTCTGCTTATGCAGCTGAGATTTGGGTTCGAACTTGGGAGTTTCATTCAAAGCAGAAAAAAATAATTTTACATTACAAAAAAGAAGGAATTTAGTTTTTCACTGTTGTCAGTGCTTCTGGGCTGGTTCATTTCGTCTCTGTTAGGTATGCTCAGCTTGCTAAAGGACACAAACTTGGAGTATAAGCAGAGAGAATATGTCATGGAATCACTGACGAATGGAAGATTGCTTGTGAAAGGAATGGATAATATACTGGACATCACCAAGTTGGAGGTACTCCTGCTTTGTCATGCACACCCTTAAACCACCAGTACCTCCGAGCCTCGTTTTTCCCGATGCGGATTTCTGTTGCGCGCCAATGGAAAAAAACGAATTGGCATAGTTTTTTCTTTTTTCTTTTTTTTTAAATTAGTGCCGCCAGACATTTCCTTCCGGTAGGCTGCGCCCCGAAGGATGCAGTGCATTGATGGCCGCATTGGAAGAAAATGGCTGGGAAAGGTAGCGGTGGTTTAAGAACAGGAGAAGAAGGAATCTAAGCTTCTTCAGCGAAGGGGTGCACATTTGGGTGCAGGATATGCAGATTCAATTCCAGATTAACTGGCTGATAAGCTGTTGGATATTGAGTCAATGCTCAGAAGCTGCAGAATATGAAGCACAAGGAAAAAAGGTAAACTACTCTCCAGTTTTTGTGGGTAGCATTAAACCACCAGTACCGGTAGCTCTGAGCCTCTTTTTGCTGAGGCGGAAAAGAGCTGCACAACAAGCTTTGCTGAAGACCCAGCGCAGCGCTTTTTTTTTTTCTTTTGGCTGGCCCTGGTTGGCCCTGCCAGCCATTCAGGTCCGGTAGCCCTCAGCCTCCGGAAAACCCGGAATGTCAGGTATGAGAAAGATTGAGATTCTCGGTGTGAATGGACCTTTTCAATCCTCGATGTTGCCTGGGAAAGGTAGTGGTGGTTTGAACCACCACTGCTCTTACCAGCTAACCCTCACGCACCCTCCGTGTAATGTGGTGCCAAAGGCTCAGCCTAGGGAGACGTGGCAGAGGTCCTGGGGGAAGACGGTTGAGCTGGAGGATGAGGCTGTTGCACGTGATGGTCAAGTATTATAGGCATGGGCAAAATCAGGCATCGGGAAAAAGAGGTTGGGGAACAGTCATGGTTTACGACCGTCTAGGCGCGACTCGAGTGCATTTGACAATATCTCCTTTAATGGCAGTATCACTACCAAAAATCACAGTTTGTACACTCTCATTTTCTAGATTCAGTGCCATTCTCACGATTTCGCTCTCCCCACAAAACTGATGTTCGCAGACGACCTCACGGTCCTCCTTTCAAGCCCTAGCCCGCGCTATGGAAGCCTTCAGACTAGCCTTAGAGATGAAGGTGAACTGGGAGAAAACCGAAGGATGGTGGCTTGCAGAAGGCAACCCCCCCTCAACCCCCAGACTTACTCACCCCAATGTCATGGTCCACAGGAGACCAAGCTCTTCGGTACCTGGGTATTATGGTAAACAAAGATGCCATTTGGCAAGGGATGGGGGAGACTTTGATTGCCAAGGCAATAACTCGTTTGGCCCTCTGTAGGAAAGCCCAGGCCTCCCTGCTAGGGAGAGCGCTGATCATCAACGTGGTCGTTTTCTCAACACTGTGGTACATGGCCTCCATATGGTCCCTTCCCAATGACGACCTGAAAAAGCTGAAAGCGAGAGCCAGATGCTACCTGTGGACTGGAGACCCCAGCAGAAGCACATGCCTAAACAAAGTAGCCTGGCAAATCGTCATCAGAAAACCACACGAAGGAGGACTAGGCATCATAGATCCGAAACAGGAAGCGACCGCCTTCCAGATGAAATGAGTAATCAAAATCCTAACAAAGCATACCCTCCTGTGGACCAAGATGGCGCTAGACAGCATAAGGAATTTGGCACCGGTAGCTTCCCCACCGAACATGAGGGGCCTCTTCTGGATCATGGCAAGGGAATGGGAAATCAAATCAGGGAGGTCAACAAGGAGAACTCATCCCACAACACCCTCTCATCCCTCCACCACAACCAACCCCCACTGGTCTAATCATCTAAACATCAATCTAATCATCATCCTAATTATCATCTTCAATTAATATCCTAAATTACAATCTTACTATATTCTTAATCATCTCTATGGACAAAACCTAGAATTTTTCGTTCAATTAGCTTGAAAGGTATTTTTTAATACCTAAATTTCTTAATAATTAATTTCTAATTAGTTTCTTTCTTGATTCCTTCACTCTGTTCTCAATCGTTTCTCAACTGATCTCTTCGACGATTTTTCAGAATAGCTTTTATAGTATTTTTAATTTTAATTCTTATTGTTGAAAAAATCAGGTTTATTAAACTCTTCCTGCCGAGTCCTGCGTAATTTCTCCACTACAATTCTGATCTCCTCCCATGATTCAAGTGTTAATTCTCTTTTGGTAAAATGGTTATATGGAGGGGGTGAGCTCTGCTCTGCAGGGGCTTCACAAGGTGGGTAGTGAATGCTCTGGAGGGGTTATGGGCAGATTGTGGGGGATACCCTAGTCTGGGGCTCGGGGAGATGTGAGAAGAAGCATCAAACCTCAGCGGGGGCAGATTAGGGTAAAGGGAAACAGAGGCATACTTTGGGCGGGAACTGGATGCTTCTGGGGGTAAGGGGGGGGGAGGGGGGGACCGTTCCAAGTCGGGGTTGACAGGGAGGGTCTACAATTAGGATATTCCTTTTCAACGGAGGCAGCGAGGGACAGATTGGAAAGAAGAAGGTGTGGGGGGGGGAGGGGGGTTGGGGATTTTCTGGGTTCTTTCTTTTAATATGTGCTATGTACGTAGCACGGAGCTACTCACAGAGTTAATCTTCATTAAATCTTGTTCTTTACATCACTGCCCGGGTTACTTCAAGCATTTATGTCTTCTATACTTCCTGGGCGACATCTGGTTTTCTTTTGTATTGGATACGGAATTTCAGGAATGATTTAATCTTGGCTGATGCCTTGCAGATCATTGATGTTCTATGCTCTTGGTCTGCTGATGCCAGAACACGCTGGCCGGTGCTGGAGCTTATTGCCCTGTGACCTGTTTGTGTCAGGAGCGTGAGGCCTGGTAGAGAGATCCAGGGATTCGCCGAGGGAGGAAGGCAATCCAGCTGCGAACTGAGGGGGTCTGCTGTGAAAACCTAAGGGGCCGGGTGCAGTCTTGGTAGTGAGAACACGACAGATTTGGGGGTATTGGTCAGGATGATTTCGTTCTTGAACTGTTGTGTCTGGTATAAGGGAGGCCAGGAATTGAGTAGGGGTTGTGAGGGCAGTTTTTTGCTGATGTAGTCCATCCAGTCCAAGCGTAGTATCCCACTAATTATGCTATGTCACAGTTATCTGGCTTCCTCATATCTTAGGCCACATAATGGATACAAGATATCGAAGACGATTGAATCCTGGCTGATGCTTCGTAGAGCTGTGGTGGTTTGTGCTCTTGGTTTACCGACGCCAAAACGACACTGGCCGGTGCTGGGACGTTTTGTCCTGTAACCTTTTTTGTAACAGGAGTGTGAGGCCTGGTAGAGAGTTCTGGGGATTCGTTGAGGGAGGAAGACAATCCAGTGGCGAACTGGGGGGGGGGCTGCTAGGACAACCTAAGGGGGCAGGTATAGTCTTGGCAGTGAAAGCACGACAGCTATGCGCAGTGTTGGTTTACGATGATTTTGTTTTTGGCGTGTTGCATCTGATGTAGGGAAGGCTAGGAGTTGCTCATGGTTTGAGAAGCCAGGTGTTGTTGATGTAGTTCATAGTTCTCTCAAATCACTTTTGATCACATTTCTCATATAATCATTAGAAGTTCATTACCATCATCATCAGCAGCAGCAGTGTAATCATCATCATATGAGGGATGCTGAGCCCGGTTCTCAGCTTGTTCGGTTCGGTCTCTCCGGGTAGACTGTGAGGACCCCGGCCTCAATYTTYTTATTGGTAATATCAGCCTTGGGCACTGGGCCCGGTTATTAAAAAAAAAAAAAAAAAACTCACCCGAGGACATCCCCCACTGCCTCCTATCCTGTCCAGAAGCAACATGGATCTGGAAGAAGATCCGGGAGCTGTGGTTGACCCTGTTCTCAACAACCCCCCCCAACATCCCTACCCTCTCCAACTTACGGTTATCTAACACTCCCAGAAACATCAAGGGCAGCAGGGAGGTCTGGTTCCTCCTGCTCAGGAAATGTGGGTAATATGGAAGCGCAGGTGCACCCGGACAATCGAGGGAGCAGAGGTGGCAAAGGAAGAAATGTGGTCTCTACTACTGAGCATGGCTGAGACGGAAATCAGGAGCAGATGGCGGAGAATAGTGACCTCTACACAACACAGACCAGAAAGACGAGCAACCAGGAAGCAGACATTCAAGAGAGAATGGCTGCTAAAGGGCAAGGTGGCTACGATAGTAGACAACAGATTGAGATGGAAGAAGTGGCACCAGGCTATACCACAATGACCATTGGGCCCCACCATGCTACCTGGCAGAAGGGTCGGATCTGCGATCAACAACAGTACTCAAAGGGTACACAGAGAAGTACAATGACAAACAACATAGCTTGTAGCGGACCCTTTCGCTGTTCTCATTGTGCAAGGAATTATTTGACAGGCTCTAAATAGAAGCCTGAGAGGAACAAGCGGCATGGGCAAGCTGACGGTCAATCCTCCTTAGCAGGAGCAATCAATGCTGGTCAGGGTTCCTTCGGCCAGATGGAAGGAAGCGTGATTGGGTACTGTTATGCATTCAATCTTGACTTGCCGGGGGAATAGGAACTGGACTGACGCTGCCCAGAATGGATATGGGGCCAGGACCTTAAGGACCTGTTCACAAAAAAAAAGAAAAAAAAAGAAAAAAAAGATTCAGTGCCATTCCTTTAACACCACTGGAAAATTTGACCATTTCTCCAGCTTGAATATTGTTCAATCTATAGACACGTGCAATTGAATCTCCTATCAAAACCGCTCGACCGATTTCATCCACTTGTAATTACTAATTTGCTAGGAAGATTCTCACCCCCGCCTGGTCCTGCCCAGCCGGGCACCTGGGTGTGCAAAAAAAAAAAAAAGAAAAAAAAAAAAGATTTTTTTTTTTTTTGGGTTTTCTTTGCTCTCCCAGAGGACCCCAGATCCAGGCTCATTTCTTTTTTCGCGAGTTGGCTGTCAAGACGGGGGGAGGAGGGTATAAATTGGTTTGAAAGGGGCTAAATCCGAAAGGGGTTTAAACTTTAAAGGGGGGTGCC